GGAGAATGCACTATAAACGAAAAGGAAAACCGTGAGACAAGACCCTCCCATGAACATTCAGAAAAAATACCCATGAGTTTTAAAGCTAAAGAACAATGAGCAGACCAGGTTTGCTGTTTGGCATAGGTAGAATCTCCGTTAACACAGCACAGTAACAAATGTGAAATTATCCATTAATTCAGATATTGAACAGTTACAGTACTTGTATAAAGCAGATCTAGGCAATACTTCAAAGGTCTCTCAAATCTTTCAGGAACTGAACTCAGTATTCTCCTTTATCACTCTTACTAAACTCCACTGCTTGGACTTAATGAAGGGCACGATCATCAGTTCCTGGCCAAGTCAGAAAGCAATGAGTTATTCTTGGGATTCCTGTATTCCTCATTCCAACGCCCAGTTCATACTGACATTCTGTAAGTCTAACTCCTAGGCAGCTCTCTAATGTTCCACCTACTTTCGTCCTCACTGCCACCACACTAGCTGAAGCCCACTATCACGTTTCCCAGACTTATTGTGAAGCTTACTGATTTCACGCCTGTCTTTCATGGGGCAGATACAGTGATCTCAGAAAAACAGGTACACACAGAATTTAATTGTTATAGGGCCATGACAGCTTTTAGCAGCCAGACCCAAAACATGGGCCGATCTATCTGGCTTCCTCCAGTCCGGTGAGCACAGGCTGCATTTTCTTGTCTAAGTGCTACACAACCTAAGGGTGTTATCTACACTGTAAGAAGTCGGGCACAAGGTCTCCTTAAAGGGTAGGTGACAGGACCAAATGGAAGGAGAGATAAAGGGGGACTTTCAACACGCTAGTGATGTTCTAGTTTTTAACCTGGTGCTGATTACATAGGTGGTTCACTTCATGAAAACTCTTGGAGATATATACTTACAATATGCTTACTGTTCCCGATGTATACTAGGCTTTAATAGGAAGTTTCAAAAATATATAAATCTCATGGTGTCTTCTCACTGTTCATATACTGAAGCCCAAATATGTAGCAGCAATGACTTGAAAGCACTTTGTCGAATTCCCATTTTCCCTCCCCTGTAAGTCTTCTGTCTTGACTGTACGTCGTGCTCCCCACCTTCAGAGTTCTCACACTGCTGTGCCCTCAGCTCAGAGCACTCTTCCACCTCCCTATTTTGCTTCACCAACTTCCAGGAGTGCCCAGGTGCAGATAAGCTTTCATGTTTGCCATCTTAGTAGAGTAGAGCTTGTTCTCTGCCTTCAGCTGAGGTTAGCAATCCCCTCTGCCTTTCCTTCTCAGCACTCCGTCACACATCTCTAGTAGACTGTGAACTCTGTGAGGGCAGGGAATGTTTCATTTCCACTCAATCTCACAGCCGTTGTATGTTTAATAAGTGGTAAAACACACTTATTTATTCCCTATGTTACAACATAGTAGGGAGCTTCGGAAAAGTTTCAAAATTTAAGTACTGCAGTATACACTATTAACATTGCTAAAAGTTTGTAATACATAAATTTAAAGAAAATGAGAATTAAATGCTAAATTGTTTATATACAGAAATATATACAACACTCATGAAAGCTACACAGAAAGAAGTCATTTTTAATAGATATTATTTGAAAGCTCTATTTTAAAAAAATCTATGATAATAAAATTCTGAAATAAAATAGAGCCTAAATAAATTTCTACTCATTCTCTACATATAAATGATGGATTTTTTTATCTCATAAAATATAATGCATCACCACTATTTTAATGATTTGAGTAGATTAATTAACTGTCTCAGTTTCTTTGAATGAAAATTCAAGGTAATATTAATATTTCTCTATTGAAATTTTAAAAACTATAAACATTTGCAAATGTTCCAAATAATAATTTAAACATTACATATTTAAATAATTTGTTGAATGAAGAGTAAAAATACAGTATTTTATTTGTTTAAATTACTCACGGAAAGTAACACAGGTCTAGTAAGTGGCTTTCATAAATTGCTCTTCTTGAATAAAAATAAAATCTGGTTCACTCAACAAGTCACCTTTTACAGGACTGGGGTACAGTGGTAGTGAGTGTGCCTAGAATGCAGTCCAAGCCCTGTCGCTCGAGATGAGTGAGGCTGCCTTCATAAGGCAGTAGGGCATAAGCAATAATCACATTGGGTGAAAATGCCCAAAAGAAAAAGAAATAAAACCAAAACTATATCATTTTTATAATGAGCTTTATAATACCATGTTAGAATCTTTAAAAAATAATTTAAATAACAAACATAGTGTTTTTAATTGTCTTAACAACTGTTTTCTGTATATCAACATCCAAATTTCTTTTTATTATAATATTCAATTAATGGCACACTCATTAAATCTTGAATTAGGCAGATTTTATTGATTATTATCAAGAAAAAAGAAAACATGGTATTTTCCTCATTTTGAGAAGGAGGTATTGGTTTCCTTAGTTAATGTAGAATTACTTGGTAAGTTTCCACAAGTATTAAATTTTAAATGGATGAAGGAGTTATTTAAATTCTTTCCATCTCAGTCTCTTTATCAAGTAGTGGCTGACCAAATTTTTTCTTACAAAACCCTCTGAGAATATGATGAAAATTAAGGACACACCCTCCAAAGCATATATGTACAAAATAAGGTCATATGAAGTTCATCCAAGGATCCTTAGGTAAAAAGAAGACTAGACAATACTTGTGATCTTTTGTAGCTTTAAATTGTGGTTTCAAAAATAAGAGTAAAGTCTTTAAACAAAAGTCAGTCAGTCTTGGGAATAAAAGCAAAAACTCAAATATAGCTCATTCATTTACTCACTGCTGTTAAAGACATTAGCTAGAAAAGGCTAAACACCTTACTTATATATAAATGTAGGCGTTAATTTGACAAAATAATTTATACTCTAGACATTAGAAGTTCAGCAAAAACAAGATTCTTACATAAAAGCGTAATATTTTAAGACATGAAAACGTGTGACATTTACAGCTTCCAAACGACGGTAAGCTGTCTTCCCCCCAAGTCCACCATCACTGTCAGCTTCAATTCCTTTTCAGAGTGAGGAAAGAAAATATTATGTAATGAAAGCTACGCTTGAGACCTTTTAGGTTTCTGTTTTGAGGCAGAGGAGAATACTTTCAGGTCTTGAAATGTTGTATTTTAAAATAATTACTAGAAGACTTTTTTAAAAAAAAGAACACCTTACCTGCAATTCTTGTTCTCTGAAGGAAATGCAGTAATTATAAATGTACCAACGCTCTTGGGCACATTCTCCTAAGCATGAATGGGTTTGGAATGCGCCATGGCTCAAGCTCTGAACTGCTAAACTGCTGCACTGACTGGCAACTGCGTTCACTCCCCGCCTAGCTGATAAGGACACAGGGCTGTCACGGGTAGTCCTTAACTTCCCCACGGCAAGCGCTCCCGCTGAGAGGGGTGTGGAGCCTGCGTAATTACTGTCCTCAGAGAACACGAATTGTCTCTTCCGTAGAGCTTAAGGCAGGTGGATCCACAAAACTAAAAGAGACTGCTATGCACTTCAAAATCGGTACTAAAATTAATATATTAAAATGTTAAAGAATAAAACTGGAAAGATGTTCCTCCCTAACAACACCCCTTACGAGAAATGAAAGATAATGGTAAAACAGTTGATTGTTACACGGGTGAAGACCCACTGGTCAGTATCAGAGCAAAGAACCACAAGTATTTAAATAGCTGTAATATAAAGTAAGCCTTACACTGCAATTCAGTGATCTAATGTTTTGTGTTAATCTTGCTAACTTGAAAGTTAAATAACAGCTGCAGTGGTAACCAATGATAGAAAAATGCTTGAAACTGCCAGGACCTTGAAAAATGCTGTAATTACTGCCAAAAATGACTTCATAAAGTATAGTGCTAGCGACGTACTGTTAAGCAATTGCTACTGTTTTATGTAAATTGCCTAACAGTCAATTGTCCCATCATTAATTTATATTTTATAAATTCAAGTAATCAATGCATAATTTTATAAACCTTATTCTTTAATGTAATAATTTAATTTTAAATGTTTAAATATGTAAGGACTGAGTCACTATCACAGAAAGTCCCTCTTCTGTCTTAAATAACCTAAACAATCAAAAAGAAATGAGCTACAGATAATTTGTGGTTTCCATACTGATTTTTGCGAAAGCTGTCAAGATCCTGTGCAGCATCTCTATCTTGTAGTACTACGAGTTTAGAGGCAAAGTGATGATCATGTCTTCCTCTCAAATTAACCCAGGGCAGGGTAGGGCTGCCAGACAAAATACAATATAACTGGCTAGGTTTCGATAAATATAGCGTAGGACAGGATTACACTAAACAATTACGCGTTACTTATCTGAAAGTTAAATTAAACTGGGTATCTAGTTTTATTCTGTTGCCTTGCTAATCTAGGAACTCTAACCCAAGAGTGCTCAAAGTGTTACGCAGCAGACTTCCAGCACAAATGAAGCTAAAATCTGAGCTATCTATGCTATATTGTAAGTCTATCCTTTTGAATATGTAGTAGTTACCATCCACACATGGCTACTGAGCACCTGAACTGTGGTTAGTCCAATACAAAACGTGCTCTGAGTACAAAATACACACCAGATTTTGAATGATTAGTATGAAAAATGTAAAATTTTTCATAAATTTTTATACTAATAACATGTTCAAATAGTATCTTGGATATGCTGGGTTAAACATAATTAAAAATTCTTTTAAAAACCTTATAGTGACTGTTAGAAAACTTAAAATTACAGACATAGATTTTAATTATGGCTTGAATTATTACTGTTATTTTTTATTACATAGTGCTGGCTTAAATGCCTTCAGGGAGAGAACTATACCAGAATTTCCTTGTTGTCCCACTGCTAAAAACATCAGTATTGGTAAACACACAGGGCTGCCTGTCTCAACCCCATGTATTTGTGAAAGTACATACAGGGCATGTACTTAGGAAACAACTTCTTGTAGTAACTGTTTTGCATGAACTATCTATAATCACCTTAAAAACAATTTTTAAAAACTCTTACCTAGGAAACAACTTCTTGTAGCAATTATTTTGCACGAACTATCTGTAATCACCTTAAAAACAAGTTTTAAAAACCCCTATCAGTCAAAAACTAGTAAAAGATGAATCTAAAACCTAGGGAAGAGAGGGGAAGGGTAGCAGTGGTGGGTGAAAATTACCAAACTATGTGATGTGCTTCTGTGAATCTACCCACATGAAACCCATTAATATGTGTAATCTATAACAAAAGGGACTAAAATTTTTTTAAAAGATTCCTGATTTTTTTAACAAATCATCCTTACACAATTCAAAAGAAATAAATACTAGTATATATTATGTGTGTACATGAAATAAAATCTTCAAGATCCTAGTTTCATTGAAGAATCCTTTAGTACCACTACATTGGGTTTTACTCCTATATATTATCAAAATCACCCAAGAGTGGTTTATTTTATTCCCTAACTGAGGTGGCATAGAAGTTCTTATTAAGACTCTTTGGGACAAGATTTTCCTTTAGATATCCTAGATAATGAAGGCAAGATCTGAGTGGCCTTGATGTGGAACACCAGTTAGAATCATGAAATAAATTTTTCTTTTTAAAAATATACTGTGCATACTACTATAAGACAAAAATTTTTTAAAACGTGTATTCTACAGAAGAAATGTTTTAGATTAAAAACATTTTAGTCATAATAAACTTTTAGTTTGAATTAAAAAACCTGTTCAATGACTTCATATCTCACAATTTCAATAGGTTTACATTTTAATTCTAAGGTTTTCTCAACTTGCTAATGAGTTATGCATTTATTCATTCTCTTCCAGGCTCTTTATAAAGGCTTAAAATATTTATCATGCTCTCACAAATAAAATTTCAAAGAAAATGGTACAATATATGTAATCTCTCTGAAATCTGAATAATCTGTATTTCTTCCCTTATATAGCCTATACATAACTTGAATATTTAAATCCTTTTAAAATTAATTGCCCCAACACTAGATTTCTTCAACAATTTAACTCTTCCTTGTCAGTACTGTGGTATCCTGAAGATTATAATCTTAAACGTTTTGTTATTTAGTTTCTTACCAATAACAAAAGCTGTTCTCATTGAACACTGACCTCGTTCTCAAACACAGATGGTATGTGCCAAATCACATGCTTTGTTCCGTTTGTCTTCACAGTTGATGAATTATATCTGAATGCCATTTCAAAATTTTAGATGGGGGGCTGGGGATTTAGCTCAGCGGCAAAAGCACCTGCCTGGCAAGCGCAAGGTCGTGAGTTCGGTTCCCGGTACCGGAGAAAAACCAAAAAAAAAAAAAAAAAAACAAAATTTTAGATGAAACTTTCAAGGCATTCAAGAAAAGTCTGTGATGAGGAATGAACTCAGCAGTTACTAACCAAGATTTAGATGCAGAACAAACTGGAAAACAAATTGTACTGAAACTGGGAATGAAAGAAAACCTTCATCATCGCTAGCACACGCTCCAGTCTACACAAGGAAAACTACTTCTCGATGGCTGCACGCTGCCTCGCTCTGAGGCCCGATGGCCTTCCCCTCAATGGCGCATTCCAAAACCAGCCCTGAGTTAGGAGAATGGGCCCAGGAGTGTGTGCTCTCTACACAGTGCTTACCTTTAGAGAACAAGGTGCTTGACACAAACTGAGCAAGTTCTCACCCAGTACTCTCAAGGACACTGAAAAAGATCTGCAGATCTTTCTTGGTGCAGGAGGGACCTCTTTATAATCTTCTCGTGGTGGAAGTTTATGATTTTCCTGAATGAGGAAAGAAGAGTAAAAATTATACTGAGATTTTCCCATTTAGATCAAGTTTATCTTTTCATTTTACAAAATGAGGTTCTGAAAAAAATGAGATGAAATCACAAGTACTTTGAAAATCACACTTTTCTTTTGCATACAATCATCCCCCTAAGTACTGTATGTTTCAAACAGTAATCCTGAGTCCCAAAGCCTTGAGTAATTCTACTTTTACCCTCTGAGAAACTGAAAAGGAAAAGAAAATTCTATGTTAAGTAGTGATCATAATTCCAAGTTACATTAAAAAATGATTAGTACAGCTAAACTCATTGCAAAGCAATGCATCGAACAGTGGAGACAGGAGTTTTCCCCGTGACATATGTATTTCAAGATAGCTAAAAGAAGGAAAAAAAAGTAATAACCCTTTGTGTTTTGTTAAATGCCACATAAGCATACAGAAGCACTCTACTAGAACGTAAAACTCCACAAGGGAAAGGAATTTTGTGGATTTTTTTGATACACTGATTATCTGAAGAGTCTTACATAAGGATTGGCATACAATAAGCACTACAAATGTGATTAATATAAAGAATATTAACAAATTAAGTCAATAATCTGAAGGTCAAAGTTTGCATAACCACTTAGAAGCCTATAAATATCCTGAGGAGTCTAAAACATGTTATATAACATTAGCAATGTAAACTTTCGATCACATATTAAATAAGAAAATAATATTTAAAATGTTTTATCTTAAAATATTCTTGAGGTAATGGTATAAATATATTACTACAATCCAAACTCCTACAAAGGAATGAAATACTTTAAGGTCAGAAAATCACACACTGTACCTTAAAATGTATTACCAGATACGAAAAAATAGTAAAACCACTAACACAGAAATGTAACATCATTTTTTAATACTTCAGTGTTATCTTTCCTCTCATACAGAGCAGATCAATACTGTACTAAAAACTCCTTAGAGTCCTCACACACGTAACAATCCTGCTTCATTCCTACTAGCAGGAGGAATGATGTCCAAGTGCCTTTCGTTCAAAGATTCAGGGCTCAATTTTTAATTTCACTTGCAAGTATAGATTATGAAGCCACACTGACAACTAATCTGTCCTGAGGAATCTACTGTCCCTTCCATCTTGACCAACTTTTCTCACAGTATCTCATGAAAGACTGTTTTTCCCCATTGCAGACTCTACTCATGGAGTTCAGTTTGCACTACAGAAAACGCTGCCAGCAGCTGTGTTCACAAGACTGGCTTAGCCTTCAATCAGATGACACGGGTAACATGCCTAGAGGACACAGAAATATCTCAGCACCCTAAGAATTTCAAAACAAATACAGAAATTGAGGGTAGCGTTTAGTCATGGACTGGCTTGTTGCTCATACTTAGAAGGGGCACTGACCTAGCTTAGGCACATGATCAGAGAGGGAATGAATGTGGAACTTATGCTATGCCCAAAGACTGAAAACAGTTTGTGGTTTATCACTTCTTTTTAGTTTCTAAACGAAAGTTTTAGTTAAATTTTTGCAACCATAAAGGGACTGGATTTCATATTATACTTTCTGACATTGCCAGAAAGATAGTAGCATGTGATCGGGGGGCATATATACCATGACAAAGGCCATATTTCTTAACTCTTACTGACCATGAAGTCAGATGCCCAAGGATTTTAAGATAAATCTCTAGGGACAAAGAAATCTCTTCTAGTACCTAGTTACATCTATTAGTACTCCAATATCACCGTTTTAGACAGTGTTAGTTTTAAAAAACCTTGATGGAGTGAGACTTCCTCTCATTGTAGACCCTCCAGGAAGATAAACTAATAAGGCATCTTGAAAATTAGAACTAGGTATTCACTTAAAAATTTATAAATTACTTCTAGTCAAATTATTTGTCAATATTCTCAATTTAGAAATAGTATTATTATTTGAGTCTTAAATTTTTTTCAAATATGACCATGCTTGTTTTTTTGATCATACTTTTTTCTCACAACCTAATCTCTCTCTCAAATTTACTGCCAAATATTGTACTAGGTCTTTTTGCAGTATTTTTTTCAGCCAATATAAAGACAGTGTATCTGGCACTTTATCAATTTTTCTTATTTAAGTACCTTTAAAACTTGGCTGCATACGTTTTTTACACAATAAATCATGATATCTGAAAATATCTGTTTTATTTTTTTCTTCAGACTGCGTTCATTAACGCAACAAATAAAGTAGAGTGGACAGTAACTAATAAATAAACTAATAATGAAAGTGGAGAATGTGTATTTCCTGAATCCAGGTTTATCACCACTCACCCACTGCTCTGCCCAAGCAACCCTGTCTAGCTTGCTGCTTTAATCAGCTCTCATGTTCCCTGAAACTCATCACTCACAACTCACCCAGCACAGCACATGTGACCAAGGAGGACAAGGAAAAGGTCCACTGTATAGGGTAACTATACAGTTATCCGAACACTGACAATGCTTATGAAAATCAAGTATGAAAACCTCATTCTATGAAAGTATCCACAATCACACATAAAACAGGTACTCAATGTGCTTTGTGGTCCTTGTATCTCCAATTACCTCTGAATGTTACAGTAGGTATTTAAGAGACCATATGTAAAACATCAGGGTTCTTTCTAGGATGATTATTTCAGGTAAATCTAAAAGCTTTAGCTTATAAGGAAAATTTTCAAAGGAAGAATTTACTATGACATGGAAGGGATAGCAGACTGAAAAACTCATCATCTTTCAAAAGTTAATTACAGAATTAGAATTGATTCAGAGAACAATGAGCAATAGATGAAATCATGAGAGATGGGAAACTCTCAATAGACATACTGGGCTGTCACCACCGTTCAGTTTGAGCTCTGCTAAGAATATGACAAACAGACTGTATGTTCCCTGATGAGATGCAGTACAGAGCATCTCCAAGCGTGAGGCAGCCTATTCCTCCCCTCCTTTAATACCAAAACCAAAATGGAATCTGAATCTGTCTTTCTGAGCTAACTGCTAATTTTCAGAAAATTTAGAGGCCAAGTTACAGGCCAAAATATACAGAATGGGGAACATACTGCAGCAGGGTTTATTCAGGCTCTTCTGTAAGGCATTCACAGGAAGTAAGAGAAGGAAGGAAAGAGGAAGAGAAGACTAAGGGTGGGAGAGGGGAGGGAGGAAGCGAAGTGGTGGGAAAGGAGACGTTTTAATTACAGAGCATCCTAACCGCCAAATGCTTAGTATAGGGCTTTCTCAGATCCTGCACAAACAACTCAAACGTAAAATGCCATTCTGTAGCCAAAGGAGAGGAAACTGAATAGAGACTATATGAGTAATAAGTAATTACTGTTGGATATGATATGCGGTAATTTTGTTGGATATGATATGCGGTTGCCCAAGAAAAGTATCTTTTTAAAAAGACTGAAGAATATAGGAGAAAAAAGACAGGATTTCTGATCTACTTCAAAAACATTTGAAGAAGAGGAGAAATTAGATGAAGCCAAAGTGGCAAAATTTTGCTAACTGTTCAATCTGGGCCACAGGTATTGCTGGTACACTAGTAAGTTTTATTACACTTGTCTTTCTTCCTTGGTGCAGTCTGGGATGTTTCACAACTGTTTTAGCACAGGCTTCAGTGACACCCTTCACTACTTCAAGTATATTCTCAGTGAACAGAGCTGACTACTGCACAACCAATACAAAGCAAGGGCACAACAGACAGAAGACTGTTCTGTATGACTGGCACAGATTTGCCCACACTCTAAAAGATTCACTTTTAAATTCAATTTTACTTGCATATACAGTTGTGTATATGTATATCTGAAGAGGAAAAAGCTTTTTAGTACTAGTTCAGTGATACTTTAGAAAATAAAATTTCAGAGAAATAATTTGTAGTCCACAAAACAAAGCAAAACAGATAGATTTAACATCTGTAGGGTATACCGAACCAATGCAAAGTAGTTTATTTTATTTTGATACTTCTCTACCTCCTTTGTATGTCAACAAAACCACGTTGCCCTCTGATTTTACTGGTACATATTAGGTCTGCATTATCAAAAAATACTCATGATTCAAATGGCCCCTTGTTTAACCTACTGATATTTCCCTTCTCTGAATGGGACTGACTAGTCTCAGCTAAGTATTAGCAAGACAAGTTGCTACAGGCTCACTGCAACACTTTTAGTATTAAGTACTCAGGTATTTAACTGAATAACAGGCATAAGTTAAACATCCACGGAAAATATTTGGATCTATATGCCCCTCTTAAAATGTTAAAATGTTTTTTAATAAAATATATGACAGATACATTTTTAAATTGGAGTGATTTTCTTATACCCAGTGTATATTCTATCATGTACATCCCTATTCCAGAAGAACACTCATGGACATCATTTACTAGCCTTTTCATAAAAAAATCCCATAGCACAATATAGGGTTATCTACTGTCATCATGTATCACAGAAACTGGAAGGTTGCTTTTGCTGGTCCTTAACATAACTTCTACTGTTAACTATTGCTGATTTCCCCACTCTTTATCACAGTAGGCAAATCATCAAGAAAGCAAGTTATTTTTCTGTGTGATGATTGTATTTTCTTATAAACTTCACTCTCGTACCATTACATTAACATTTAATAGCATATGCTTAATATGATTTAATATCCTTTGTCAAAAAAGTTTATATTGAATTCCTTTGCAAATATTTTAACATCAAAATGTAGTAACTCACAATATAGGCGGTTTTTAAATATTATATAAAGTTATAAAAGGATATTTTTTCAAGCTTGATTTTTTAATCTGAAAAAGCATTCTAATTATGACTATGTTACCATCTAATAGTTTAACAGGCACACCCACTGTTGATGGTGAGTAGATGTGTACATTTACGAGACTCACTTGACTCTAACCCTATCAGAGCACAGACTTCTACAACACTAATGCCCATCTGAATAATATGGTGGTACATCAAGTGCAGCTCCCAACTCTTCCCTCCTCCTTAGAAGTAATACATGGTATTTAAG